GCTCACTGCAAGAGCAGCAAAAGGAGAGAGGAGCAAAAAACTTGTCTACATTACTAAGCTTAGGGCAGAAAATCATTCATGGGCAGAGACACATTGAAGACATACAAGTCAGAGTTAATGAAGAATTGAGATCGCTAGGGAAGGGAGGTTGGGTGGCACCGAGAGCCTCCAGGGAGGGATGGGCCTTGAACAAGAGGAGGAATGCCTCCTTCCTCACACATGGGCAGGAGGAACGGAAACACAGATACAGAAGTTTCTGGATGGGTAAGAAGCTCAGCTTCTTTATTTTCATAACCTCAATGTTATCAGCAAAGTAGGAGGTTATCAAAAGATTATAAAAATATTAGGCTGATGACAGGAGAAAAGCGAAGATAAAGCAGTGTTTCTTTAAAAAAAAAAAAAAAAAGTCAGACTTGTTGCTTCATAGAAAATTTCCCCCTCTCCCTTCATTGAAAATTAGTGGTGTTCTCCAATTAAACTGGATTTATGAACAGGACAGGCATACAAGAAATCTTATTCCCCGTTTTCTATTTTGGCATTCACTTCTTGATTCTCTCCTTCCCCTAATCCAGGTTACACCGACATGATCTTTGACTTCCCACAGAGAAGTGTTCATTTTAACTGGCAGGCAAATGATATTACACTCCAAAGGCCCATCATGCTAAATGACCATTAAACCATTACACTTAAGAACTGCCTCTCAAGATAGACTCCAAGTGCTTCGCACAGTATCACCGTTTAACTATCAGCATTTTATAGACAGGGAATTGTCATCGCCAAGCTCACATGAATGCCTCTGGTTATAAACAGAACATCTGTGGCTGGTTAGCTCGGTTGGTTCATCCATGAAGTTAAATGGCCAAAATCTTGGGTGGAATCCTTGTAAAGCTCTGTCAGTATGGCTCTTTTCACAAGCCATTTGTCTGCAGCTCCGGTTAGATGAGGCATCTGAAAATAGAGGCTCCTGATTTGGACAGAGTATGGCTGCCATCACCACATCAATCAGCCTCCTCTTTTCTTATTCTTCAGCACATGCTCTGTTAACAGGGCTCTTCTCCTTTCTGGCCATCTCTGCCTCTGTGCTTTTCCCCACATTATTCCTTCCGCATTATTGTTTCCATTCAAATCCTCCCTGTACTTCAAAGTTTGCCTCAATTCCCACTAAAACTCCAGTATGTCTCTCAGCTGACTCCAGCCTCCATGAGTCTTTATAATTGAACGGCCAGCCTTGCAATCCATACTCTATAAATTTAGTTGATTATTACATTTAGTTTGTAACTCTAGGCTGCCCAAGGGCAGGTACCACAGGTATAGTACAGTATAATAGAAAGAGATCTTATTTCTACTTCAGGTTTAGTAGAGTAACCCCCCTTATACATGGGGCATACATTTCAAGACCCTCAGTGGATACCTGAAACTGCAGATATATAAACCTTATATATGCTATGTTTTTTAAACCTATAATCGAAATGACTGCTAAGTGACTATTGGGCAGGTAGAATATGCAACATGGATATGACAGGCAAAGGAAGATTCACATCCCAGGTGGGACAAAGCAGGATAGCCAGAGATTTTGTTGTGATACTAAGAATGGTAGGCAATTGGAAACCTATGAATTATTTCTAGGATTTCTTATTTCCTATTTTCAGACCACAGTGAACCATGGGTAACCAAAACTATGGAAAGCAAAAACAAGGATAAGGAGGGATGACTAAACTTCCTCACTAGGTCATCTTGGAAAATTTACCTACTTCTTTGGACATTCATTTCCTCATTTGAAGATGAAAAGTCATATAATTTGCTATCTTCACTTTTTAATCACTACAGCCTTTAATAGCACTCAAACACTTGACTGATGAGTCAAAATTCTACGAGTATGAATTTATATCCAGAGTGAAAAACCAAATCCACACCTGAAAGCAATGTGGGTCCACAGCAAGAGTTCTTTCCTTCATTTTTCTTATTTCCGGCCATACCGTATAAAGTTGTGAACAGCAGTGTGCCTATACAGGCAGTAGTGCTACTGTTGGAATGTTAGCTTACAGATTTTAAAGGTGGTCCTCTGACAACCGTCTTTAGGCCACAACTTCAAAAGTGCAGTCACGGTGATAAGTTTGTGCCTGACCAGCAGGACAGCTGATCCACTTACATGGAAGGAATTATATATACCTTGTCCATGGTTTACTGCCACATCAGAGGTGGTTTTTGTTTGTTTGTTTGTTTGTTTTGAGATGGAGTCTTGCTCTGTTGGCCAGGCTGGAGTGCAGTGGCATGATCTCAGCTCACTGCAACCTCTGGGGTTTCACCATGTTAGCCAGGATAGTCTCGATTTCCTGGCCTATTGGAGGTTCTTAAACCGTGGTCCAGGGAGCTCTGGAGGCCCCTGAAAAGCATCCAAGAAGTCAAAGCTACTTTTCTAGTAACACTAAAATGTCACATGTCTTTTTTATTCTCATCCTCTCATCAGTTACAGTGCCGTTTTCCAGAGGCTGCACCACAGCTTGAATGCGAAGCAAATACAAGAACCCAGCTATCTCCTATTAAACCAGACATTAGAAAGACCTACAAAACTGTGGGAGAAAACTGCCATGCTTCTAACTTTTTTGCTTTGGGAAAGCTATCTTTTCTAACAAGTTATTTATGTTAATAGGATAAGTTTATTATTTTAATAAATCAATAAATCATTTTCTCTTTTAGTTTCTAATATAGTAAATATCAATAGGCATAACTATATACATAGCTCTTTGAAGTCCTTGATGATGTTTTTCTAGAAATATGAAAGTGCTCTTACACTAAGACATTTGGGAACTGCCTCTCTGTATTAATGAGGACATAAAATAAACACAGTTGCCATTTGGTGCCATAGAGGACTGGTTCCAGCGCCCCCTGAAGATACCAAAATTTATGATGCTAAGTCTCTTTATAAAATGACATAGTATTTGCACATAATCTATGTACATTTCCCCATATACTTTAAATCAGCTCTAGATTACTTATCATACCTAATACAATGTAAATAGTAGTTATACTGTACTATGTAGGGAATGTTGACCAGAAAAGTCTACACGTGTTCAGTACAGATACTCTCCCCCCACCCCCACACCAAATGTTTTTCATTCATGGTTGTTGAATCCACAGATGAAAACCACCAGTGGGCCAACTGTATTTGCCAAATGTAAGACAGTCATGTACCCCTTAATGACAGTGACACATTCTAAGAAACGCATCAATAGGTGATTTTGTCATTGTGTGAGTTTCACAAAACATGCAAACCTCGACTACATGGGATAGCCTATTGCTCCTAGCAGTAACTCCTAGCAAACAAACCTGAGCAGCATGCTACTATACTGTATACTCTAGGCAATTACAACACCAGGGTAAGTACTTGTGTATTTAAACATAAAAATGGAACAGTGAAAATCCCATGTTGTCTTGGGGAACCACCAGCATATACTTGGTCTACCATTGGCCAAAACATCAATAGGCAGAACATGACTATATAAGCTGAACTCTGAAAGACACCCATGAAAAATACATTAACAAATGACTCTCTTTTGTTGATATCTAGAACACTGAGGGTTTTGTCCAAAGGATGGCAGTAAGGTCCACATACTCCATTGTCCTCTGCTTTCAAATCCAGCCTGACCAAATCCTCCTGACCATAGGCTGGGTGGAACAAGGAGGAGAGAGCAATGCTCATGATATGACCCTATTCCTCCTACATATATCCCTTGTGATACTATTTATATAGTTTGCTATAACGAAATGCAATAGGTTGGGTGGCTTGACAGAAATTTGTCACAATTCTGGAGGCTGGAAGTCTAGGTCCAAGGTGTCAACAGGTTTGATTTCTGCTGAGACCCCTCTGGCACACAGATGGTTTTTTTCTCACGTGCCACCTTTTTAATGTGTGCTTACACATCTCTTCTCATAGGGACATAGCCATATTGGATTAGGGCCCACCCATATGACCTCATTTAATCTTAGCCTTTTTTTTTTTTTTTTTTTTTTTTTGAGATGGAATCTCACTCTGTCTCCCAGGCTGGAGTGCAGTGGTGCAATCTTGGCTCATTGCAACCTCTGCCACCTCCTGGATTCAAGCAGTTCTCTTGCCTCAGGCTCCCAAGTAGCTGGGACTACAGGTGCCTGCCACCATGCCTGGCTAAGTTTTTTCATTTTTAGTAGAGATGAGGCTTCATCATTTTGGTCAGGCTGGTCTCAAACTCCTGACCTCAGGTGATCTACCCACCTCAGCCTCCCCAAGTGCTGGGAATACAGATGCAAACCACCACGCCCAGCCACCTTAGCTGTCTATTTAAAAATCCTGCTTCCAAATGCAGTTACGTTCTGGGGTATTGGAAGTTGGGAATTCAATATATGAATTTGAAGGTAACAAAACAGCCCAGAACTTGTTAAGAAATTCATGCTTTTCCATTTGTTTATTTCTAAAGGTTTATCTACCTCACTATGTCTACTACACTATCTACTTTTGTAAGTGATGAATATACAAGAAGCCCCTTGAGTTCATGTAGTTCGAGTTCCTCTTTTTAGAAAGCGAATCAGATAAGTTACTTCACCTTTCTATACCTAATGTCATACAGCGCAGTATCAGCTGACAAAAATTATACCTTCGTTTTTAAATACAATGTTAATGTCAACTCACTTAGGGAGTATTCTATTTAGGAAAAGCTTGCAATGATTTAGAAGAAATTATTTAAAGATTGCATGCAGCTGGGCGCAGTGGCTCACGCCTGTAATCCCAGCACTTTGGGAGGCCGAGGCGGGTGGATCACGAG